CATTTTAAACTACTGTAAAGAGCTACTATTTTTTAGCTTGCTGTCCAGGATACTGTACACATAGAACACAAACAATGCTATCAAAGGATCATTGCAGGTCAAGTTTCCATGAACAGGTAAATGACAGACTACATTTTTGAATAATTCTCAGAGGTAAAAAAAAAGTAGAGCATCTCTGGCAGGGACATGTGGTAACTCTAGGAGGACTGGTTTTGATTTTTATGATGGCAGCATTTGTGCAGACAATCTGGAGCAGGATAAGTGGTTCAGTATATTTTTAATGCCTTTAAGTGAAATCAGAATTCCACTGTGGAAGCTAGATTTGTGTTAAACTGCAAGTTGTGTGTACATGTGTGTGTGTGTGTGTGTGAGAGAGGGCAGGCTGTAGGATGTTTTGTCAGAATCCATCTCAAAGCAGAAACTTGGACTCTTTTTTGTACTGCATATAGTTATCAGTGGTTGTGTATTTAAGGCAATGTCTGAGTTTACAATAATTATTTAAAAAAGAGAAATAACACAACAGATGAATACATCATTCAGGGTGTGAAAAATGGAAGTGTGTGTCAGACTGTATTATCTCTCGTCAGCAGAACATTAGTGAACCCAGTGAGCATTAAGCACATCCCAGCAGGTTTCCAGGGGAAAAAGGCCTGAAGCAAAGGATAAGGAATGAATAGGTCCCCTAGCAGGGGAAATGATAAGTCAAACAAAGGGCAGTTACAAGTTTCTTCTAAAAATCATTTACTATTATTATTCATGCTACTTTTCTCACCGTCTGAGGTAGGCTCAAGGTAACAGCAATAGCAGGTAGCAAGTAACATTTCAGTTTTAGCAAATGTGGTGATTTCAGAAAGGCCTTTAAGTAAAAAATCTCTCTTAGATGTATTTCGATATCCTTCCTCTCCACCTTCACATACACATGCTACTTCCTACGCATAGAATGAGGAGCTGGTAACTTTCAGACTTTCTAGTCCATCTTCCTTAATAAGAAATATTCCATCCATGAGGGGTTATGGTACAAGCTTTCTATCTACTGAAATGTCTGTGCTCCAAGGCTTAGCTTGTTTTCACTGTGTTTAAAGTCTTCATTGTGAAAGTCATCACATAGATATTTCTTGCAGGAAACAATCATATCAAGTTCTTTTCACAGTGCAAGGCAGGGAATTTCTGCACACAGGGCTTGAAATATTAGTTGCATTCAGTCAGGAAAAGTTGCCTACATTTCTTTTCACTTAAGTCACTGCCTTCTATTTAATGCCTCCACATCCACTTCAGGGACAGGTAGCTTAATTTCTATCATCTGTAGCTTTACAGAGTATTAGCTCTGCTACACATGCCAATGACTGAGCTACACTAAATGTGCTTGAAAAAGCCTACAACTTACAGTGCTCATTCAGGAAGCTCGGAGCGAAGTAAATCCATATGTGTGTTAGAAAGTCAGTGTTCAAATAGGGCTCGTGTTTTCTGGCTCTTGGCATTATCATACACAAACCTTCTTTGAAGAGCTGCAGCAGTGATAGGATTTTTGATAAAGAAATGTGTAGTATGCTCATGGTTAAAAAGTGACATTTTGATGCTTTAAAAATGTTCTTTTTTATTTGGTTAAATATTCAGAACCTTTTCCTACCCTGCCAATTTTCTTAAAGAACTCTTAAATGAAAACATATATAATTAAGCAGGAAAAATACCCCAAAGATTCTGTGTTACATTTAAGCTACAAATGCTGTATTTTCTGTGAATTTTGTTGAACTTTATCTGAAAAAAAATCCTAATCAAGATAGGGTTTTAACTGAATTCTTTGGCTGCTTCAAAGCACTTGCAGAATAAAAACAATCTCATAAAATTTCATCTGACTTTTTCATAGTCTGTGATTCAGAAAGCTTCACATTTGTCAAAAATTAATGCATACTCAGCATCTAGATACACTGTCAGATATATATGATATATACATGAACTAGAACCAGAAACCACAGTGTCTAATCCTATTCCCTTTACTTATATAAAATCCAGCCATTTCATCTCACAGGAGTAAAGAAAAGCATATATAGTAGGATTTTACATAGCTGCATTTCATATACAGCTTGACAACTGGGCCAGCTAGTAGCTGTAATTCTAATGGGTCTGCCATTTATATCACTGCATTTCAACAGCAATTTGCAAAGTAAACATTAAGTAACACTAAAAGAAAATCTCTGTTTAAACACCTGAAACATTTAAGGCAATGCATAGAACTAACAGAGATACAAAATGGAGTAAGATGGCATTTTGCAGTCATTACAGCTAAAGCATTGGCTGTGTGATGAAAGTTCTTCAAAGTGGTTCTTCATGCAATGTTCCTCAGAAATTCAGTCTTAATTTTGCATGAATATGAAATAGAATTTGACATCTACTCTTGTAATGCCGTGCCTTTTCAGGATAATTAGTCATACGTTTATGTTAGTTTTCTTGTATTATAATAACTGTGCACTAAGGTATGCAGCTTCAGTTGGCTTCCCCTGGCTTTGAGAGTTTATGATTCATTACATGTGTCATGCCCAGGAGATCAGCTAAAATATCCTGAATTTCCTGTATACATTCAGGTGGTCATTTTTGAATATTCCTCAGGAAACACTGTTTTGCTTCCTGATTGCCCATTTTTACTTCCAGTCAGGGTAAAATTAGGTATCATTCATTGAAGTGGTCTCAGGGAAATTTTTCAGTGGAAGACATTTGGTCTTATTGTCCCAGCTCAGTCTCCTCACACTCAGCTGAAAGCAGAAAATGATAAATGCCATATCCTGGCTAATACTCAGCGTTCGGCGGCTGGCTCATGTGTCAGAGCAGACAACTGTCTTGAAGGGTGTGTACTCTCAAGTTGTGGTTACAATTTTAACTTAATCTGCCTTCCTGAAAATGAATCACAGTCCCTTTGAGGATGCAGGCTCCTGCTCATGCCCTGGTGTACCAAGCAGCTGCCATTGAATCATTTTCCTCAGCCACTCCTTCATGGTAACCTTAATTTGCTAGCCATAAAAATGATAAGGAAGTACTCCCTCTTAGCCCTCTTGTTGATACTTCTTTATTTAAAGTTCTACACAGCATTTTTCAAACTTTATTATGGCTTGATTAAATTGATTTAACCAATGACCTCTACTTATCGCCTTATTTGTTTTAAAGATGACCATTCATAGTTGCTTTAAAGCAATAGAGACAACCTGAAGATCTGCCTAATGTTAAATACATCATTATTTTTTCTTTACTACTTGGCTGCTTTTTCATATCTTCTTGTAATTTTCTTTGTTACTTACTGATTTGTGGGTGTCTTCGGGAAAGCTGCTTAATTTATTTAAATATCAAGCTACCAATCTGCAACACAAATATAATAAATCACCCCGTATCAAGCTGATGGTGCCTGTGTTTGTACAAGATTTTGAGTTTCTCAGATGAAAACACAGTGTGATGTTATTACTGCTATTCTAAACTTTGCAAGCAAAATCCAGTCTTCTTATTCAGCTCTATTGTGAATACAAACTATTTTCATTAGTTCTGCTGCATGCACATAAAACTAATCAAAACAACAAAAAATTCAGGTCCAGTATGCTGAAAAATAAGATCACTTTAGTAGCTTGAAATATAATATTATTGTAACAGTAATGTCGAAGACATTTGACAGGTGTAGAGAAGATCAAGCTTCTTTCTGTTTCAAATGACTAATCAGAGAAATTCCTCAGAACCTCCAGAGTCGAGTAGCAGTTGCATCCATTTCCAATTACTTGATTTCTTTCTTTCTTTTTTACTTCTTTCCCCCCAACCCCCTTTTTTTTTTTTTTTTTTTTTCCTCAGAAATTAGGAACAGAAGCGTCTGGGTCAAACTGAAAATGTATCTCAGTGTGCTTGGAAGTTATCCAAATAGTATCTGCCACAGTATTTTGTTTAACCCTAAACACTTTTCTTTTCATGATAAATTTGTACTGTATGATACAATTAAATGCACTTCCTATGGAGCATCGAGGAAGTCTGGCTGTCTGTTTGGATGACTTTTTCAGCCTATTTCAAACCATCATGTCTGTTTGGAATAGTATTGTATAAGGGATATGTAAGATTTCAGCTATAGTTTTTGGCATGTTTCTCTAAAAAAAGAGTCACTAAAAACAAATTTCAAAACTAAAATTTTAGCATGACGACACTGTAGAGCAGTGCTGCTTAGCCATCTGTGTATTTCCTTTATAATATCATTATAATATTTTATGCTTCTATTTTATATAATATTCATGTAATGTTCTGTATGTCACATTTAGAAGGCACAAAGGATTATTTTCTCTGCTTAATAACCACACTCGTGCTAAGAAGTGGGACCCAAAACCTTTCAGCCAAAACTTACCAGTTTGTCAACACTGGAGATGCAGCAGGGGTCACACTTGGTTTCATTTAACTTTACTTTCTGTCTATGGCAATAGTGACTACTGAAATTAACTCAAGCAATTAATTGTTCTGATTTCCTTCACTTAAAAATGACTCCTGCCTGGGTAGGGAAGATGAGTGTTACTCTTTTTGGGGGGGGGGGGGGGGGGGTGTTAACAAGAAGGGGTAATGACTAGAGCTACTGGTGGGTGTTGAGGCATGGGTTGCCTGTGATGGCGGCTGGAGCCAGGGGTGGCTGGGTGCTGGCAGGTCCTTGTCACCCTGCCGGCATGAGCACCAGGCACGCAGAGTCTGGCGTCTGGTGAGCAGGCCTGTCCCGGCCGATGTAGCACTGTTTGTAATGAGAAATATAAACAGGGAATGGCAGCGAGGCATGACAGGAATGTGTTTCCATTGGAGAAGCCCGTGCAGAGTAAAAGCATAAGCAAAGCCATGTCCAGAAGGCCTCTCAGCTGGCCAGGACGGAAGACTGATGTTATTGTACAGGGGCTGTCACGTTGCCAGCCTTGCCTCACAGGTTTGTTTTCTCTCATGCTCTCCCTCTCCCTCTCTCTCTCCCTCTCTCCCTGCCTTCCTCCCGGGGCCGGCTGTTTGCTCAGGTGGACAGTGACACCGTTTGGAACGAGCTGCACTCAGCCGGGGCTGCACGCATGGCGGTGGGCTGTGTCATCGAGCTGGCGGCCCGCGTGGCCTCCCGGGAGCTGAAGGTGAGGTCCGGGCCACGCTGTGGGTGGGAGAGCCAGGGCGGCAGAGTGAAACAGGGCTGAAGGGAGGTGTTGTTCAGCTGCTCTGCTCCAGCAGGGTGCCGGGAGGAAGTTCACGAAGGTGTGGCAGCCCTTCCAGTTCTCACTGGGGACGGTCTTGCTGTCTACATGAAGACGCAGTTGTGGGTGCTCACAGTCCGGGGTTGCCACACCTAGAGGTGAAGTTACTCATAGCATGCACTTCTCTGCAAGTGGCTGTGGCACTGCCTTTTGAAGTGTGTTTTTGCCATATTTTGGATTTAATACGGTTGTTTAGTCACGTATGGAACCTCAGTATACCACCCAGAGAGAGGGGAGGCAAAGAGTGGCTGTGCGGGAGAGGAGGAAGAGGAGGCGCTGGGGAGGAGAACTGTGGCCCAGGAAGTGCTTTTCTGCTAGGCTGGCTGCCCTCAGACTTCTCTCCCTGGCCCCCTTCCTTTTCCTATCTCCATGCTGCGTGATCTGCAAGGCATGATGTAAAAAACCTAAATTATCCCGAGACTAAACAATTTATGAAAACTCCAGACCTGATGATCTTTGACATTTTATTTGGTATTTTAACAGTCCTATTTAACGGTACACCATATGCAGCCGGAGAGCAGGCTCACCCCAGTAAACTTTGGAGCTAAGATGTCTCCTTAATGAAACTGTTTATTCACTTTCCAGACCAAATACTAATGGTTTCAGTCCTGTTTCCCAAATCAAGATAGAAATAAATATTTCAGAATTAGCAATGTACAATGATTTTAAAAATTCGAAATTTGAACTTGAGAATTTTCTTCCTGTATAACTGTCCTATTTCAAAATACATTAGCTATATATTTGAGGAAGAGTACATCTGTTTATGTGTGTATATATAGATATAGAACATATAGATACAAAAATGGTAGTGTTCTCATGTGAAATGCAGTACTGTACCTCCGACCCAACTGAATGGAGTTACTAAACTTTCATATTCAGACACCAATATCATTAGCCAGGTGCTACACGAAATGTACAAATTTTGAGTTAACATGTGCAGGGTCCACTGCAGAATCTTTACTACTTAGATCTGTACCATTGTGGTGTCTTGCCACAGTATGAATGTGCTTGGTTGCTTATGGGTGTGTTCTAGACAGTTGAAAAGAATCAAACATCAGCCACTGGAGAAACCTTGGTTGCTACTGGCATTGAACAGTCTCTGAGCAAATATATTAAACTTAGTACTAGTTTGTAGGTTACTGTAAAATTATTGTTGATCCTAAACAGAATCTTTGTCTACAGTGCAGAGAATTGAAGCAATCTTATGGTCTTATGCAACCTGCAGTTAAAACATAGAAAAGGTAATTGTTACAGATGTGCCAAGTAGCTGGTTTTTAGCAAATCATCAAGAAAATAGGAATGGAAAGGATTTGCTGTGAAATTTGCTGTGAAAAATACTGATGCCATTCCTGAAAGATGTTTATCTAACCTGTCCCTATACTTCCAGCATGAAGCCCAATGACTTACATGCCACCATGCCAACTGTATGAACTAACAACCTTCATGTGGTTTTTATAATTTAAGATTATAAAAATGTTATTCAGGTCCAATTAACAGAAGAAAAGCATGCTAGGAGAAGTTCTGGAAATGCACCGATCCTGACATTAGCTTTTTTGGCAGAGTCTTTCTGTGTGTGCCTTGTCACTGCATCTATACAAACCTGGATTTTGATGCAAGTGGTTCCCAATACCCTCATACAGTAGGGGGTTTGCAGTGTATTCTGAGGTTTTCTACATGGTGTTCAGGGTGGGATTGTCAGTAGCTGTAAGTTTTTAGCCCCACAGATCTTTATGTTTCAATTTACCTCTTTGACTTTCCATCTTGCTGCCAATTTTCCTCCAGAAACTTATGCATTGTATTGATCAGTGATTTCTAGTGTAGGGAAAAATGCCAATTTTGTAGTGTACTTGTGAAGATCTGAGGGCACGTAAGTGAGCTGATCACTTCCATGTGCATTCATTGAGCAAATATGCATGTGAAGCAACCATTTGGAGCCAGTACTGTGAGCAGTGAGTGGGAGGATTAAGCTGTGATGGGAATCTGGAATGATCTGCTGCAGCTTCAGAATCTTTGGATGACAAAAAAAAGCACCTTCCACGAACTGAGTGTAAACTATAACAGCTCTGAAACATGTAAACAGTGAGATGAGAACAGTAAAGACACATGATGTAGTTTTTCCCTGGAAGTTTTCCACAGTGGATTGCTATCACAAGGTGCACTGTCATTCGGTGTCATCTTAAGGAAAAAAAAAAAAAAGTAAATTATGAGACAGGGCATACTGATTTGTTCTGAAATCCCCCAGTTCTCTGAGAAGAGCTGCATGTCCTGAATTTCACAGCAGCAGACTTAAAATACACATCAAGGACTTCACAAAGGGCAGTGCTCCAGCTTGCAGCAGAAGAGGCAGTAGATTATCTACCCACTGCACTGGGGAACCACTGAAACAGCCACGGGGACATTAGGATAACCTGAGTGAAACTATCTAGCATAGACAAAGTCTGAGACAAGAAGCCTCTTGAATGAGACACTGAAGACACTCATTTAACAGCTGTTTTTCTGACATAAGGATTATCAAATTTGTCAGTGTAGTTGGGTATGAGCAGCCCAAATATTTCTTACAGCTTGATGAATCAATATATATGTTTTTTCAAAGTCTAACATGTTTCTCCTAAAATTAAAATGAATAGTTTATTTTATGAACATGTATTCAATTAATTTATAAAATATAGTATTTAAAATACTGAAGATGAATGTCTTCACTGCCTAGCTAGAGTGTAGAAACTAACAAACATGTTGTTTGTGTTGACTGGCATCTGACATTTAAAGCCCATTTCAGTCAGGAGGGAACATTTCAATCTCTATGTTTATTTCATGGTCTCTACTGATTTCGCTTGCTCATACAGTGATAGTATAGACATATTCTTCTAAGATAAGATTTGAGACTACAAAATAAATCATGAAAGTCTGAAGAACAATTGAGAGATTCACTACAGAGCTGTGCATGAGTCAAACTCATATGCAAGGCAAAAGGTTCTTAACTTTATTCTGAATTTCCTGAGATTATCAGTCCCATTTCACACAGGTCTCATCTGAGAACAGCAACATTTTGTTCATCTGATTTGGACAGTGCTCAAGAACTGAGAAGGAGTTAAGAGTTCTCTTCACTATTGTTCAAACCCCTTGTGAGACGTCAGATTTCTTTGATCTCCTTGGCTAATGGGGAAAGCATCAATATGACAGTGCTAAAGGATATAAAACAAAAGGGTTTACTGGAGTTGTATTGATGCTGTAATAGTAAATTACTGTGGTGGTATTTTTCTTGATTTTGTAGTGTTTTGTTTTTTTTTAATCAGGACAAATTGCCACTTCTCTGGAGAGTCTTAATATGGATGGTTTTTATTTAATTATATGAAAAAAAAAATTAAGGATTTGGGGGGTTGTTTTAGTAAAATAGTAAGCACTCACTGAGATCAATTTGATACACTTTTGAAATGATATTTAATAGATCATAAAGAATCACATCACTGAAGTATATAGTATGATAAATATGATATCATGCTTAATCAAATGCTCTACTTTTTCTTTTTACATTTATTTATTTACATGCATGATGAATGTCATGGTGGCAGTATTACAATAGGAGATAAGCCTAACTATTACATGAAGGTCACTTTTTTTTTGAGTGTTTTATAGTTTAGGAAACCTGCTGATGCATGATAAGGAATTTATGTTGCATGGAATTGGTGCCACAGCTCTCCTGTATCTACCTTTGTTCCATTCTCATTTCCCTAGTAGATTTATGTAGGTGGCTTTTAATAATCTGCTGTCTGACCCCAGACCTTTAGAAAAGTGGAGTATGTGGAACTTGGTGAATACAATCCCACCGCAGTCATTTGCTATATTGAATAAATTATTTTAACAAATCAGATAAGTCTTATGATGTATTCATTTGAGAAAGAAATACAGGTAGTGCCCTGCGTATGATTTCTTGCATGCAATTTAGCTTGTGAATTTGGAAATCATTGTCTCTAGCCTCTAATAACTGCACCTTAAGAAGGAAGGCCCTAAAAGATCTGCATCAGTAGGAAGAACTTATATTTCCTAAAGTGTCTCCTAAGGATCTATTTACTCTATTTCATTGCCACATGAAAATAAAGATGCGATAGCAATAAGTTGCTAAAAGCTCACAGTGTCCCAGTCCCTGCTCTGCAGTACAAGGCAGATTTCAGGAGTGTGTGGTCTAATGGCTTAGTGGTACTGAGAGGCGCTGTCTGGCCCTGCCTTCATGTTTATTTCCCAGCCTGGCCCAGCTATTACATCGACTCTGATGCTCAGCTCAGTTCACCTCCCAGCCCTGCCAGCATGCTACTTCACTCACAGGCAGCTAGGCACAAAGAGACTCTCCCCTTGCCTGCACTTGGCTATCCTGCACAGCAGGCTCTCCCCTCTTGCTTCTGAACTGGACTAGTACAGAGATTGTTCAAACCCCACATTAGACAAGTCTCAGAGGAAATTAAGGAGGCTTCCTGCATCTGAGATCTCTCTTGATGTTCAGATTTCATTTGTATCTCTTACTGCTTGCAGAGAATCTCACCTTCAGGACTTAGCTTGCCAAATTACTGTTTTTTCTGAATGACTTTAGGTTGCTGGTATTACCATTTTGTTAACCAAATTATTCATGCTGATGATGCCCCCTTTTATTAACAAATAGTAGGTATTTCTTAAATGTTTATTGCTACTTTCAAGAAGCCAAAATTCATATAGATGATTATGTTAGTATGATAATTTTGCAATATTTACACTATGTTGCATCATGTCCTTCAAAATATTTGTTCTTTAAATGGTTGTTTTATTGTGTGCTGTTTTGTGAATGTTAAGTGTGTCTCAACTTCTTTTCTGATATCAAATTGTACATTTCTCTGGCTGGCCCTTAAAATCTTGCA